CAGTTGGTGTCAGTTGTCCAGATGTCCAGTTTAGTCATCAGTGACATTCCCCAGGGCTTGGTATTGGGTTCAGTTTTATTTAATATTTAGATCTACGATCCGAATGAGAGGATCAAGTACACCCTCAGTATATTTGCAGATGACAATAAGTTAGGTGGGACAGTTGATCTGCTTGAGGGTAGGAAAGCTTTACAGAGGGATGTGGAAAGGCTAGATTGATGGACTGAGTCCAATCACATGACATTCAACAATGCTTCTGCACTTGGATCATAACAACCTCATGCAGTAGCATAGGCTTGGGGAAGAGTGGCTGGAAAGCTGTCCAGAAGAAAAGCACCTGCGGATGTTGGTCAACAGCCAGCTGAACATGAGCAGCCACCACCCATCATGGACAGGGACACTGACATCTTCCAATAGGTCATCTGTGCTTATAAGGTCACTGTCAGCTGAAGATCTGATAGGCCATGAGCAGGCCCATGGCAGGTGAATATTCCTGTGATGCCAGTGGTGCCTGAGTAGCTGACAGGCCGAGAGCAAACACGGCGTGTGCTAGATGCTGGGAGGACCCTGGTGCCTGAGAAGCCAGGAGGCCAGGAATAAGCACATGGCTTGTGTCGGTCTTTGGGAGCTTATGATGTCATGTCAGCGATGGCACCCCATGCTTGATTATTCCTGAAATCCAACAGAAACCCCAGGCACCTGTTTACCGGTGCATCACACTACTTCATTGGGAACAGAAACCAAACAGGTGTCTATGTGGTGCTCAGGTCAGTGGTGCCTGTGGAGCTGACAGACCAGCAGCAGGCCCACAGCTCTCGTAAGAGCTTGTGACGTCACTGGTGCCTGAGAAGATGACAGGCAGGAAGGAGGCCCATGCCTGGGGAATGTACTTGTGATGCCACTCTTGGCTGAGTAGCTGACAGGGCAGGAGCAGGTGCAGGCCAGGAGCAGGCCCATGGCAGGTGAAGATGCTATGGCATCACCTGGAGCTGTGTTGGGCAGAATCATGAAATAGCCCGAGTTGGAAAGAATCAAGGATCAGTGAGTCCAACTCCAGCCACCAGACAATAAAATAAATTATATATGTATCTAAAAAACTATACAAACTGTAAATATATATTAAAAATATTAAAATATATAATGTATATATTTATAAAAAACAAACCTTTTACATATGTATAATACATGTAAAATTAATGTAATGAAAAATAAAATAAAATATAAAATAAAATAAAATAAAATAAAACAAAATAAAATAAAATATATTATATAATTAATATAATATATTATACTGTACAATATAACATAATACTGTATAATATACTGGAATACTTTATGTAATATAAATACTTATCAAATAAAAATATAATATAATCTATAGTATAATATCGGTAATTTTATATTACATAATATGAACTATATAATAATACATTCAATATATAAGAATAATATTTAATCTAATAAAATATATAAAAATATAATAATGTATAAGTAATATATATATATTGTATATATTCGTAAAAATGTGTGTTCTATTAAAAATATAAAAGGTATATATATATGTGTGTATTTATATTTATATATATATATATATATAATAAACTATATGTCTGAGAGTATTGTCCAACACTTCTTGCACTCTTCCATGCTTGGAGCTGTGAGGAGGCTGGGAGGCACCGCAGGGCCATGCCTGGGCACGGGGCCAGGAGGAAACCACCGTCTTCCTGCCCGGGCGCCATGTCACGTGGGCTGCGGTTTGTGCACCTGCAGTGGCAGGCAGGCTCCAGCTCCCGACCCGCCGCGGGGAATAACGGCCCCTGGGTGACACGCTGAGAGCCAGGGAGACGCCTGAGGCTCTGGGCTGCAGCTCTGCTGCCAGGGCAGGCCCTGGACCAGCTCTGGCTGCTGCCGGGACCCCACAGGAGGCTCCCTGGGGAGGGACGGGACAGCCAGCACCCCCATCATGGGGCTCTGGCCCTGCCCAAGGGCCTTTCCCAGCTGCTGCTGCCAGCACAGCAGGGGCTGTAGCAGGGGCAGGGGCTGGTCCCTTCCCAGCCTGACACAGCCCTGCTGCAGGACCAGTCCCCTGGATCCCATGGCGCAGAGATGGCCGGACAATCGCACCTTGGGCTCTTGGATGCTACAGCTCAGGAGATGTTCCGTGCTCCCACAGCAGGCTGCAAGGGGTGTCAGAGCCACCTGCCCCCACACCCAGCCCTACCCCACGATGATGTCCCACCACAGTGACGTGAGAGCCACAGCAGCGGAGCCGTCCCTCATATATGGTCATGAAGAGCGCTGGAGAAGTTCATTGGAGAGCTGGGCTGCGTCGGAGGGGAGATAAGTGCCGATAACGTCTAAAAAGGTGTCTGCTGCTTCGATTGGCTCCTCCTGCAGCTGGGACAGCATCTGCACAGATATATTGCCCTCCCATCATTGCCATTGCCCCGTTGGCCCCCAGGAGCTGCAGCAGCAGGGCCGTGCTGTCAGGACAGGAGCCTCAGGATGGGGACAGCGGGACTCTTTTCCTCTTGGGTGCTGTGTCTGTTCCTCTGGGTGCAGCCTTGCAGAGGTAAGTACCAGCTGCTTTGTTCAACAGCTTGTGGTCAGCACCACTGAAATGAGAGGCAGAAAGTTCTCTGTCTCTCAGCCTGTTCCTGTCTGGATGGGAGAGTGTAATCCATTTCCACAGCTCCCATGTTTTTGGCAGCCCATGTCCAGTTGCATTTCTAGACACCTTGTCCTCAGGTACACTTTTGGGACCCCTTGTTCCCCAGCACCAAACCTCTGGAGCTGGAGGAAGCCCAGGTGCTGACAGCCAATGCCTGGGGTGTCCTGGAGATGTTGCGTGCTGCTCCCTGCCCCTGCGTTATGGATAAACCCTGATCCTAGGAGGGAAGGTTGTACCCCCAGACAAAAGGTGACTGGGGCTTCTGCACCAAAGGTGGCAGAGAGGTATCCTTCCTGGGAGGCCTGGCCAAGGTTAGAGGCTGGGCTGACAGCAGGAATGAGGAGAGGACTCAGGCTGGGGGAGAACCTTGAGACTGACTCAGTGCCCCCTGTACAGACTGGGAGCCCTAGGTGTTTTGGTGCATTTTGGAGGAGCCTGGGGCAGGTGGGCCAGGGGAAAGTATTGGTCAAGGAACATGGGGCTGTTCATGGGTGGAGGTATGCAAGTGGGCATGGACAGAGGCAGGGAGCCACTGGGGTGGGAGGAGGTTCTGAGGGCTGTGGGGCAGCAAATGGCTGAGGAGGACTGGAGCTGGGTACTCCCAGCCCAGCGCAGCACATGGGGACATCCCACTGCCCCAGGGACAGCCCATGGGAGCAGGGCTCCCACCTTGGGGTCTGTGACTGTACCTGATCCAAGGACAATCTGAGACCCTCACTGTGGGGCTCAAAGCTCTCCTGACTGTTCCCCTGTTGATGTTTGAAGGGGCTGTGGAGGTGAGGCTGGCGGATGGCGGCAGTCGCTGTGCTGGAAGAGTGGAGGTGAAACAACAGGGCCAGTGGGGGACCGTGTGTGGTGCTTTGTGGGACGAGAATGATTCTGCAGTGGTTTGCAAGCACCTGGGCTGTGGGGTTGCTCTTGGAGCTCCTCAGTATGGAAACTTTGGGCCAGGATCTGGGCCCATTTGGATGGTTGGTGTTGATTGTCGTGGCACCGAGTCTGCCCTGTCTGACTGCAGTCACAGAGGACGCGGTGAATCCTACTGTTCTCACAGTTTGGATGCTGGAGTGATATGTTCAGGTAATCGCTCAGCCCATTCCCCATGTTTTGGGGATGGGAAAGGGGAAAAAGGTAACAGCTTATAGGTCAGGGCACTGATAAGCTTGGTCTGTCACTGTTGTTATCCCACATCCCAAGGCAAAGCCCAGTGGAGCCCAGCCAAGATACCCAAACCCAGACTTGTCCTTGAGCTGGAGAAGTCAACCCTGGGGAGGTGCCTGGGGCTGGGAGAGGAAAGCCCTCACCCTTCCCCACTGTGCTGTCTGGTTCCCATCTTTCTCCTCCCACTCACCCAGGCCCTGTCTGGCAGGCTGGTCCCTATGCCAGGGGAATCTAGAGCAGCTCCCCCAGCCACCAGCAGCCTCAGGGAAGGGTGTGCAATGGCCCAGGACTTTTGGGTTGTACCCCCAGCAGACAAGAGAACCTCGGCCAAAGCAGAGGGGCTGCTCAGAGGTCAGGAGCAGTGGGCTTGTGCAGAGGAGCAGGGTGGCAAGTGGCACCTTGCTTCTTTCCCAGTGTCAACCTATGAGAGCCAGGCTTTGAGACATGGCCCCTCCAGGCCATGCTGACCCACATCCCAGCCTCTCCTGACTGCCCTGTGCCCCAGGGTCTGTGCCAGCACCTCCTGGCTCTCCTTGGTGCCTGCCCTCGCACCAGGAGCTCATGTCAGCCCAGGGCTGCTTGCTGCCTGATCTGGGAACTCACAGGTCTCCTCGGTTGCTCCAGGATTTGTACGGCTGGTCAGAGGGGACAGCCCCTGCTCAGGAAGTCTGGAGGTCTACGACAGGGACCAGTGGAAAGCTGTCTGTGACCCACATTTTGGTGCCAAAGCTGCCGAGGTGGTGTGCAGGGAGCTGCAGTGTGGCACAGCCCTGTCTGTCCACGGGGCAACTCACCTAGGAGAAGGAGCCAGTCCTGTCTGGGACAGAGAGCTGCAGTGTGTGGGGAATGAATCCACCATCCTCTTCTGCCCCTGGAGAGCCCCTGGGCATGAGGCCTGCACCCACGGCAATGACCCTTATGTCATCTGCACACGTAAGGACTCGAGACGTGATAATGCCAATGGGGGTAGTGCTGGGGGCAGGAAAGCATGGAAGGCACTGGGCTGCTCTGGGTGGGAGGAGAGGTGGGTTGAGGTGGTGGTCTGCAGCCCTAAAATTAGAGAGCTGCAGGAGAAAGGCACGCTGTCCCTTTGGCCTCTCCTGCAGCTCCTGGGAGCAAAAGCACAAATGTGGCCTCTCTCACCCTCCTTTCTCCCCAGAGTACACAGGGTTCAGGCTGGTGAACGGCAGCACAGCGTGTGAGGGCAGGGTGGAGGTGGAGGTGCTGGGGACGTGGGGGACCCTCTGTGCCTCCCGCTGGGACCTCTCGGACGCCCACGTTCTGTGTCGGCACCTCGGCTGTGGCTTTGCTGAGTCCATTCCTGGAGGAGGGCATTTTGGCAGAGGAACCGGCCCCATCTGGAGAGACTCGTTCCACTGTGACGGGACTGAAGCCCTCCTGGGGCAGTGCCCGGTGACTGCCCTGGGGGCCTCGCCGTGCTCCCAGGAGAATGCTGCTGCTGTCATTTGCTCAGGTGCGTGCTGGGCAGTGCTGCAAAGTCCATTTGCCCCTGGTGTGTGACACGGCCACCCACAGATTTGCACCCCATGGCAGTGCCTGGCTGAATGTCTGCTCTCACCAGGCCTAACTCACCCCATGCCCCTGCGGTTGGTGGGTGGAGGGAGCCGGTGCGACGGGCGCGTGGAGGTCTTCCAGCACGGGACATGGGGCAGAGTCCTGGATGAACAGTGGGACATGCAGGAGGCCAGCGTGGTGTGCCGGCAGCTGCAGTGCGGAGAGGCAGAGGCAGCCTACACCCCCGTGAGGGCCGAGCGAGGACCAGGACCTGTGGGGCTCCATGGGGTGCGGTGTGCAGGGCACGAGGCTGACCTGAGCCTCTGCAACACCTCCCTGCCTGAGAGCATGTCAACAGAAGGGATCATGGAGGACGTGGGGGTCGTGTGCCGGAGTGAGTGGTGCTGCACATCCCCCAGTAGACGGTCCGGGAGGGCAGCCAGCCCCTGATGGCCGGGGTTCTCCCCGCTGCAGGGAGCCGGCGGGTCCGGCTGGCAGACGGGGCCGGGCGCTGTGCCGGGAGAGTGGAGATCTACTACCAGGGGCGCTGGGGCACCATCTGCGACGACGCCTGGGACCTGGCTGACGCCGCCGTCGTTTGCCGCCAGCTGGGCTGCGGAGGGGCCCTGGAGGCAGCCGGCTCTGCTCGGTTTGGGGAGGGCTCCGGGCAGATCTGGCTGGATGGTGTCAACTGCTCCGGGGCTGAAGCTGCTCTCTGGGACTGCCCTGCCAAGGCCTGGGGGCAGCATGACTGCAGGCACAAGGAGGACGCGGGAGTCGTCTGTTCAGGTCTGTGCTGGGAGTGGAGCTGAGAGCTGGGGACAGTGAGGCCAGGGTGAGGGCAGAGCCAGGTAGGGCCAAGGCCATCAGTGGCTGACATCCAAGGACGTCCCTGGGGCCTTTCCTCCTTCCAGAGTTCATGGCCCTGAGGCTGGAGAACAGCGACGGCTGCTCCGGGCGCCTGCAGGTTTTCTACAACGGGACGTGGGGCAGCGTTTGCTCCAACTCCATGACCACCGAGACGGTGTCACTGGTGTGCAAGGAGCTGGGCTGCGGGAAGGAAGGGGAACTGGAAACAGATTCTAACTATGCCAAGCTGTCTGGCACCGCGTGGCTGGATCGCGTGGAGTGTGGGAAGAGCAACAGCTCCTTCTCGCAGTGTCCATCTGCTCCCTGGCATCCGCAGTCGTGTGATGACCTCCGAGAAGAGACCCACATCACCTGCAATGGTAAATCTGAGCCATCAAGGCACCAGGTCTACTTCCCCACTGGACACGGTGAAATGCAGAGAAGGAACCCAGAGAAGCTTTGGCTTTCTGCAGTAGACCTTGTAGCTGCTGGAGGAACAAAGGTGACTTCAGCTTTCAAAGCTACCCATGCCCACCATCAGTACCTGGTCAGGCTGCCATCAGTCACTGGGGGAGGCAGAGGCATCTCCAGGCGGGGTCTCAGAGAAGACCAGTCAGGAGGAGGGGGCTACATGCTGGGCTGTGAGAGTTCCAGGAATATGTGGAAGCTGGGGGAAGTCTGTGATGTACCCAATAGGGTGGAATCCGCCCCATCACCCAGCCCTGACGTCCCCAGCCTCCACTGCCTTGTGTGGTTGGGAGTGGCATGTCCTGCCCCCGAATTCTGTCTGATGCTGCCCCTGCCATGTTCCTGCCCATGCAGATCCCCCACGGGGCCGTCTGACCACCAGCAGCGAGAGACTCTCGGTGCCTGTCGTCATCTGCATCATCCTGGGGGCCCTCCTCTGCCTGCTCCTGGCCCTCCTGGCTGGGCAGGTGCGAAACGCCAGGGCTCAGCGCAGAGGTGGGCCCTTCCCCAGTGGTCCTGGGGGGGAGATGCCTCCTGGCAGGGCTGGGGGTTTTGGTGTCCTGGGGCACAGAAACAGAGCCGTGTGCTGCCTCCGGCCCCATGTGCTGCCCCACTGACTGACAGACCATGGGGCACCAACATCAAGGGGTGGAGAGAGCCCAGAGCCTGAGGCATCAGTTCTGGGGTGAGGAGAGAAATGTGAGATCTGGGCTGGGTGAGACAGGGAGGATGCACTGCTGGCAGTGCTCTGGGCAGCACTGGCAGGAGGAGCATGGGGCAGCAGAGTCCATCACCTTTGTGTCAGCCACCCCCCAACAGGGTACGGGCTGTGCTATTGATGTATGGGGAAGAGATGGAGCAGCTCCATGGGGAAGGGAAATGAGGGAACTGGTGCAGGGTCTGCAATGGGACGTGACCAGGGACCAAAGGGGCACAAGGGCTGTCTCCAAAGGGATCGTGTGAGGCTGACTCTGTCCCAGACCATCTCCATGGGGATGCTGCCCTCCCTGGGGATGTGGCCTCAGTGCCAACACAACACAGTGGGGCTGTGCTGTGGGGACAGCCCTGTGCTGGCCTAGGGAATGGGGTGAGGGAGCCCAGTGGGGTCCTGTCCCTCTCTGCGCAACCCTAGACCAGCCCTGCCTCTGTCCCCAGGCTCTGGGAGAGCTGGGGAGCCCTTCCCTGAGGCCGTGTACGAGGAGATCACTTACAGCCTGGCGTGGGAGAAGCGGCCGAGGTTCAGTCTCTCAGGTGGGTGCAGGTAACCTGCGGGGGCACATCTGCTGTGTCCATTCTCCCTGTCTCATACCAGGGCTGTGCCCTGCAGCTCCTGCCCATGGTCCCTGAAATGGTTGGACCATGGGGTCTGTGGGAGAGCATCCAGGTGTTGGCCCCCACGGAGGAGCTTCCTCCACACCAGCTCTGCCCATCCCAGAGGGGATAGCCCCTCTCTGCTTGTCCCTGAACCAAGGACTAAGTGAAGGGCTTTCCCAGGGCATCTGTTGGAGTTCCTCTGAGAATTGTCTCTTTCCAAGGAACTGGTCTCCTCCCCATGCACCCCCAGCTCTGTGGGTGCCCATCCCCAGCAGTGCTGACCACCAGTCAGGGCAGCAGGGCTCATCCCACAGCACCCACTGCAGCTCTCTGCAGCCTCCTTTTCAGAGGGGACCCTGACCCAGCTGCAGCCCTACCCTAGGCACAGAGAGGAGGAGGATGGTCTGGGGCCAGACCCAAGGATCAGAGGTGGGGGGGGGAAGAAATGTCTCCATTTCTCCTCACTGCAGACAGACCAGACAGACAGCAGTGGCCACCGAGTGTTATCATCAGACCTGGTTGCATAAAGGCTCTGCTGTGACCCTGACACCAGCAGCATGTCAGCCCTGTGTCCCCACACACCCTCCCATCCTCTGCTCTGCAGAACATCTCTTCTCATTGCCACCACCTTCCCTCTCCTTTCAGATGTCCCTGTCCTGCCTGGAGGTTACCCAGCAGGTGGCTATGATGATGCTGGGGAGGTTTCTGACCCTGGGGAGGATCCTGTCCCTGGGCAGAGGGACTGGGAAGTGCCCAGGACACCAGAGGAAGGAGATGGGCTGAGGCATGCAGCCACAGGTGAGAGGGCAATGCAGCACTGCCACTTCCTAGGTGCCAATCCCAAGCCTAGGAGAATCCATTGCATGTTGAAAGCCTGACCATCCATGGAGAACCTGTCCTGGGAGATTTTGTGGGGTCTGGGAGTATGGGCCGAGTGTCTCAGGCTGGTGAAGACGAGGAAGGTGATAAACAGCCCCGAGGGGTATCCCACAGGCCCAACCACAGCAGCCTGCCTTGACTCTTACAGTGGGAAGCCTGCACTCCCGGGGAAGTGCTGGGGTCCCTGGAGCTGATGGAGACACCTCGTCACCTTTCCTGGGGACCACGGGCTATGACGATGTTGAAGAGGTGTCTCTGGCACATCCCCATGAGAACACCCAGGATGTGACACCAGAGCCCCGTGCACAAGAGTTCCAGAGCCCCAGGCCAGCAGAGCCCAGCCCTGCTGAGCAGCTGGGTGCAGCCGGGAGGGAGGAGAGTTCAGTGCCACTGGGAGAGCCGTGAGTGCCAGGGAATGGTCTCCCTTTTCCAGCAGTCAGCAGATGCACATGGGTATTTCCCTTCTTGGTATTCCCCTTTTTTTATGCTGTGTGTTGGTATTTTCTCGTATTAAAACCCTCTGGGCGTTTTTCCCCAGATCCAGTGCTTCCCTGACCATGTTTCTGGGCATCTCCCTGAGGCTCATGGAGGGGAGAAGAGCACAAAGATGCAGCGGTTGGGAAGGGGCACATCTTAGAGCCAGCAGGATTGTGGTCAGGCTTTGGGGCTGACAGAGCCCCTGGTCCAGGGACACTATTCCTACTGACAGAGACATTTCTGTCCTGCCAGCCACAGGCAGTTTCCAGACAAAGTGGATCTCTGGGAAGCCCCATGAGACAGTCCCTTGCAGTGCCCACCTTCTGCTGCCTTGGGCCCTAAGGAAGGGCCCATGGAACCTAAGGAAGCCTTCCCAGCACCCATGGGCAGAGATACCTCAGTTGCAAGAGGTGAACGGGGAGATGTCTTGGACCCTTGGGCAGGACTTGGCACCAGCTCCTGCTGGTGTGTCCCCACAACCCTCCAGCTCTTCCCCAGCAGGCTCCTCTGTTGCAGGCTGGGAGGTGCTTTTGGTAGTGGGATGGTGGGCTGGAACACCTATTGGAGCATCTATTTAATCCCGTTGGGTCATCTCTCCTGGCTGTGTATAGTCTTCTCTGGGTGAAGAACTGGCTGGAGGGCCATGCCCAGTGGGTTGTGGTTAATGGATTTCATTCCAGCTGTCATCCTGTTACAAGTGGCGTCGCCCAGGGGTTGGTACTGAGGCCTATCTTGTTTAATACCTTTATTGATGACCTAGATGAGGGGTTGAATGTACCCTCAGTAAGTTTGCAGACGACACCAAGTTGGGAGGTAATGCTGATCTGCCTGAGGCTAAGGTGGTCCTTCAGAGGAATTGGGATAGGCTGGGCTGAGGCTAATGGGAAGGGGTTTAACAAGGCTAAGCACCAGATCCTGCACTTTGGCCACAACAACCCCATGCAATGCTATAGGCTTGGGACAGAGTGGCTGTGAAGAAGAAAGGGACGTGGGAGTGATGATCGATGTTTGGCTGAACATGAGCCGGCAGAGTGCCCAGGTGGAAAGAAGGCCAATGGTATCCTGGACTGTGTTAGAAATAGTGTAGCCAGTGGGAGCAGCGAGGTGATCATCCCCCTGTACTCAACTCTGGTGAAGCCACACCTGGAGTACTGTGTTCAGTTTTGGGCCCGTCACTACGAGAAGGACACTGAGGCCCTGGAGCATGTCCAGAGAAGGTCAACAAAATTGGTGAGGGGTCTGGAGCACAGGTCCTGTGAAGAGCGGCTGAGTGAGCTGGGATTGTTTAGTCTGCAGAAGAGGAGGCTCAGCGGAGACCTCATTGCAATCTACAACTTCCTGAAGGGAGGCTGTGATGAGGAGGGGGTCAGCCTCTTCTCTCTGATAACTAACGATAGCACTCGAGGAAATGGCCACAAGTTGCGCCTGGGGAGATTTGGTTTAGATATCAGGAAAAACTTTTTCTCTCAAAGAGTGGTCAGGCACTGGAACGGCCTCCCCAGGGAGGTGGTGGAGTCACCATCCTTGGCAGTGTCCAAGAAGCACCTGTCTCAGGTGCTTTGAGATATGACTTAGTAGCTTAGGGGTAGTATTGGTGATAGGAGGATGATTGGACTAGATGATCTTGTAGGTTCTTTCCAACCCTGTGTTTTTATGACTCTATGATTCTGTGACTAATGGTAACAAGTAATGTGCTTGGGGTCTGACTTTGAATTAGGAAATGAGGTTGGGGATTAGAGCAATGGATGCCTTAAAGGGAGAGAGAAAGCATTAAGGACAGCACTAGATTTTCAGGTTACTAGTTAGAAATATTACCAGGACACAACATGAAGATGTTCCCTGTGAGTGTTGCAGAAGCATCAGCCTTACTTGAACCCCTCTTAAATCTTTAAAATCTTTCCTTTCTGTTAGCGAAACCCCTCTTCTCTCTCCCAAATCCCCCACCGTTATTCTCCCAGCTTTCCCCTGGCCTCACCAAATGTGTCACCCTGTTGGGGGCAGCTTTCTGAGGGCCTTTGTGACCTCAGAGGCTCTGCCTCCCTGCTGTTGTCCAGCCAGGTGCTGTGACACAAGTGACCTCACAGCCAGCATCCACAGGGCTACAAGGAGCTGTTGTGCTCAGCAGGTCTCATCCCAGCCCACCGAGAAGCACTGGGTGCAGGGGGTGCTCTGCACAGTCCCTCAGGTACTCTGCCTGCCAACCAGTTCCTGCTTTGGGAGGTCTCCCACATATCCAAACTCATGTTTCCCCATGTAGGTTTCAGCAACTCCAGGGCATCCTGAAGGAAATGGCCACCTCTGTGTGGAAAACTGATTCAAGAACTGAATGCATATTTTAGGCAAATGTTGAGAACTCTTCAGAGAAGGAGTTGGTGTGAAAGTCATGATGACTAGCATTGGTCATATCCATATCTAGTGAACAAGGACTCAGCCTAGACTGCTCTGTGGTTCCCTTCTCTCTGCCAGGAGGCCAGCCGAGCCCAGACCCTCCCCAGCTCTCCACACCCCCATCTCCTCTCCCCCACCCAGACCAGCAGGGAAACCCAGGCTGGGCTGGCAACAAAGCTGCTAATGAAGCAGGGGAGATCACTGGAAGTGTCTCTGCTGCTGCCATCTGTGGTGGTTTTACCGTACTGGGCAGCTAAACCCCACAACCGCTCTCTCACTCCCCCTCCTTTAGATGAGGAGGGGGAGAAGTAAAGCAAAGAACAACTCACGGGTTGAGATAAGGATAATTTAATTAAAGGGAAATAATTATAATAATTAAATAAAGACTACCATGAACTAAACAATTTAACTAAGGGGAAATAAAAAGGGAAAGGGGAAAGGGAGGGGAAAAAAGGAAAATAAAAAGAAGGGAGGAAAACAAACAAACAAAATAAATGAAGGCTATATGGAAGTGCAGAGGAAAGAAATTACTCTCTACTTCCCACAAATGAGCGATGATTGACCACGTCCTTGAAGCAAGGCCTCAACGCACGCAGCCGGTGTTCGAGAGGAGGACCGACGTCTTCCAAACGAGAGCCCACCCCTCCCCTCTTCTTCCTGTTTCCACCTTTTATTGCTGAGTGTGACATCACACGGTATGGAATATCCCTTTGATTGGTTTAGGCCAGCTGCCCTAGTGATGTTTCTCTCCTCACCTTTTGCCCACCCCCTAGGAGGTTTAGAGAAGGGCCTAATACTGTGCCACTGCTGCTCAGCAGCAGACACAACACTGGTGTGATAACACTGCTGTTCCAGCTACAAGTACAGAGTACGGCACTGTATGGGCTGCTGCTGGGAAAGTTAACATTCCAGCCAGACCCAATACACCATCTGCAGGAGATAAACACCACCAATCCACCTTCCCAGACACCCTAGAGCCTCCCAGACCAGCCCTGCTCCCCAGCACATCACAGCACCACACTGCTGGCCCTGGGGCTCCTCAAGCAACACCACTGCACACACACTCAGTGCCCTGCTCTGCTCCCGGGACACACCATGTCCTGCACAGCCTTCCCCCAGCCCAGCACGTCCGGGCTGGTCTGAGCAGCCATTCCTGCAGCCCCTGCCCATGCTGCCCACAGCTCCCTAACTGGCGGTGCTGCTCTGCAGAACGAGGGGGCTGTGGTGCATGGGGCCATGGGGGCACTCAGCAGGGCCGTGCTGGTCAGGCTGGTGTGAGATATGTTCATCTGATTCGTGTCAGTATGGAACAATGCTAGGGCCACATGGTGTGATGAATGTGACCTTCTTTCTTATATACACTTGTATAACCACATAGGTTATACCACAAATGTATGAGCCATTTATTACACTGGGAAGGCAGAGCCAGCTGGTGACGGGGGCACTGCCACTGACTGCCTCCCACGCAAGTGGTTCTTTGGCCATGGAGGGTGCGCACAGATAGCTGGCCTTCTTCAGAGTCAGAGACTCTTTGAATACAGCTGTGCTGCCCTGCAGCCAGAGACTTCCCCTGTTCAGGGTTCTGAAGATTTCTCCCACTGTGATCTCTCAGCATCCCCCCTCCACACTGCCTTTAACATCTCCCTCCCTTCTCTCAGCCACCCTTGTCCCCTGCAGGCAGTGCCCCCAACCCTGCTGCGCTGTGCAGAGGAGCTGCTCCTGGGCAGAGCTGTCTCTCTGCAGTGCTGCCCGCTTACCAGAAGCTCCCCTTGGGCCCAGGAGTCCAGCCTAGGTCAGCAGCACAGGGAGCTCTTGACAAATTCCTGGGACTCTAGAGGAAACAACGTTGAAACAGAATGAAGTTATCACAGATGATCCTTCCATCCACTGGGGAAGGAAACTCATTTCCAGCACTATCATTCCTCATATCAAAAGAAGTATGAGGTTCAAGAATCACCTTTCTGTGTTCTGGTTTTAGGCAGGACACCCATACAGGGATAGGGAGGGATCTGCCTTCATTTGCTGAGGGAAGGGTTTCAGCTGAATCAACCAAGGCATCTCATTCTTTGCAGTCCAATGGTTAGAAGGAGGCTTTGCTCTCTCACATGCGCAATAAGCCCACAGGAGCTGGGATTTCTTTTGCTTAGGTTCAGGTGGGCACACTCCAGTCTTGTGCAAGTGAGCTAGTCTCAGCTCCCAGCACACTAAATAGAGACAGAGGCCAGGAGGGAGCTGTTCATATGCAAACACCAGGTGACATTGGAGGTGCCAGAGGTGGGCCAAGATATATGCAAGTATCTTCATGCTCTGATCGATTAATTCCAGGAATCAGTTGGGCATCTGGGGACATCATTCTTAAGTGCAGGGAGATTTTCTTGGTCAAATGAAAATGAAACCAGATACCTAAATTAAAGATCATTGATTCTTTTCACTGTTCATTAATATATTCTGAGCAGCCTGCAATGGCTTTCATCTGATTTGGTCATTTATGGGTGTCATTTACGATAGGCAGAGCTAAGTGTCTCTCTTCTCCAGTACATGTTCTTACGACATCTGAAGTTTTATCCCTGAGAGGGACAACTGTCTTAGAGTCATAGAATCATTAAAGTTGGAATAGACCTCCAAGATCATCTGGTCCAACCACCCCCCTACCACCAATATTACCCACTAAATCATCTCCCTAAGCACCACATCCAAACTTTCCATAAAGACCCACACGGACAGTCACTCCACCATCTCACTGCGCAACCCGTTCCAATGCCTGAACAGTCCTTTTGAGAACAAACATCTCCTAATTTCCAAACTAAACCTCCCCTTAATCAACTTGAAGCCATTCTCTCTAGTCCTGTCACTACTTATCTGTGAGAAGGGGCCAACCCTTAGATCCCCACACCTTCTTTTCAGGTAGTTGGAGAGAGCAATACTGTCTCCCCTGAGCCTCCTCTTCTCCAGACTAAACAACCCCAGTTCCCTCAGCTGCTCCTCATCGGAATTGTGTTCCAGACCCTTCACTAGCTTTGTAGCCCTTCTCTGGACATGCTCTAGGGGCTCAACATCTTTCTTGTACTAAGGGACCCAAAGCTGAACACAGTACTTGAGGTGCAGCCTCATCAGAGCAGAGTACAGGGGGATGATCACCTGCCTGGTCCTGCTAGAAAGACTATTCCTGACACAAGCCAGGATGCTACTGGCCTTCTTGGCCACCTGGGCAAACTGCCGGCTCATGTTCAGGTGAGCATCAAGCAGCGCTCTCAGATCCTTTTCCTCTGCACAACTTTCGAGACACTCTGCCCCAAGCCTGTAGTGTTACATGGGGTTAATGTGGCCAAAGTGCAGGACCCAACACTTATCCCACTTGCCTCTGCCCATTGACCCATCCTGTCCAGGTCCTTCTGAAGGGCCTACCTACCCTCCAGAAGATCAACACTACCCTCTAACTTGGTGTCTTCTCTAAACTCACTGGGGATGCACTCAATTCCCTCATCCAAATCATCAATAAAAACATTAAAGAGGATGGGCCCCAACACCAACTCCTGGGGAACACCACTGGTGACCAGCTGGATTTCACTCCGATCACCATCAATCTCTGGGCACGGCCATCCAGCCAGTTTTTAACCCAGCAAAGCAGGTACCTGTCCAAGCCATGGGCTGCCAGCTTCTCCAGGAGAATGATGTGGGAGACTGTGTCAAAGGTCTTGCTGAAATCTAGGCAGGCTATGCCAACAGCCTTTCCCTCATCCACTAGGCAGATCACCCGTTCATAGAAGGAGATGAGGTTGGTCAGGCAGGACTTGTCTTTCATGAGCCCATACTTACTGGGCCTGATCTACAGGTTGTTCCACATATGTTGCATGATTGCATTCAAGATAACCTGATCCATCACCTTTCCTGGCACCAAGGTCAGGCTGACAGTTTAAGCACTTTGGTTCAGCTCTACTTTTTGTGTCCCATTGCAATATCTGTATACCCCCAATCTATACATCATGTGCAGCAGTATAAGAACCCATTGATACTGTGCAGACACAGTTCAGTAGTAACTGAAACACTGGTCTGTTTTCAACACCTTTTTGTTCTAAAATTCAAAATGCAGCTCCATATGAACTGCTCTGAAATAAAACCACAGGGGTTCAAAGAGCTTCAAAGGTTTTGTGTTGGGAAGGATCTTTATAAATCAACCCTCCTGCTCTGGCCAGGTACACATTCCAAGAGACCTGGTCTTAAACACTTTTAAGGGCACCATCCCACAATTTCTCTGGAAAACATGCTCCAGTGCCTCACTAATCTCAGAGTAAAGAATTTCTTCCTAATATGTAGTCTAAATCTACCCTCTTTTAGTTTAAGGCCATTAGCCCTTGTCCTATCACTCTATCCCTGATAAAGTGTCTTTCTCCAGCTTTTCTGTTCATCCTCTTTAGGTACTGGAAGGTTGCTGTAAGGTCTCCCCAGAGCCTTCTCTTCTCACTTGCCAAGTAGTCCCAGCCTCTCCTTGCAGGAGACGTGGTCCAGCTCTTTGATCATTTTTGTGGCTCTCCTCTGGTCTTGCTCCAACAGGTCCATGTCCTTCCAAAATTGGGGGCCTCAGAACTGAGCACAGTATTTTAAGAGGGGTCTCACAAGAGTGGAAGAGAGGGCAAGAATCACCTCCCCTAACCTCCTAGTTACAGTTCTGATGCTACCTGTGATTTTGCTTTCTGGGCTGCAAGTGCACATTGACTGCTCATGTTGAGTTTTTCAAGCACCAACAGCCCCAGGACCCACAGGGCTGTTCTCACTTCATTCTCCACCCAGCCTCAAGCCTGTCAAGACCTCTCTGGAAGGCGTCCCTTCCCTTCAGTGTGTCAACCTCACCACACTGCTTGCTGTCATCAACTTGCTTGACATCAACTTGTCAAAATGTCAAGTGGACAATCCCACTGTCCATGTCACCAAGAATGATGTTAAACTCTTCCAGTCCCAATAACGGTCCCTGAGGAACTCTACTCATTGCTGGTCTCCACTTGAACACTGAGCTGTTGACCACAGTAATTTGACTGTGACCATCCAGACAATTCTTTATATCCACTGAGTGGTCCACCCATCAAATCCATGCCTCTCTAATTTAGAGAATGGATGTTACGTGGGATGTGTTGAATACTTTGCACAATTCCAGGGAGATGACATCAGTTTCTCTTCCTGTATCCAAAAACACTGCAACCCAGTGGGTCAGAATGCCATCAGATATGTCAGGCATGAGCTGCCCTTAGTGAAGCCATGTTGGCTCTTACCAATCACCTCTTTGTTTGTTATGTCCCTTAGCAGAATTTCCAGGTGGATCCATTCCATGATCTTGCTGGGCACAGAGGTGGGACTGACTGGACTGTAGTTCCCTAGGTGTGTATACATATGTATTTTTCCCTTTTTAATAGTGGCAGTTCCATTTTCCCTTTCCCATTCAATGGAACTTTGCCAGACTGCCACTGCTTTTCACATGTGATGAGTAGTGGCTTTACAAGTTCATTTGCCAGTTCCCTCAGGACTCTGGGATTCATCTCACCTGGTTCCATAGACTTGTGTTCCTTCAGATGCCTTAGATGGTCTTGCACCTAATCTTCCACAGTAGACATTTCAACAATCTCCCAGTCCCTGCATTTGTCATGTGGGACTTGGGCAGTGTGGCTAGAGCTCTTGCCAATGAAGACTGAGGCAAAGAAATCGAGTACCTCAGCCTTCTGTATATCCTGGGTAACCATGTCTCCTGTTTCCTTCAGGAGAGAGTCCATGTTTTCTGCTGTCTTCCTTTTATCACTTTTGTACTTAGAGAAGCCCTTCTTGTTGCCCTTGACCTTCCTGTCCAGATTGAAGCTTACCATGGCCTTAGCTTTGCTGACTTGATCCCTGGCTGCTCCGATAGTGTCTGTGTATTCCTCCCAGGTTACCTGTCCTTGCTTCCATCTTTTGTAGGCTTCCTTTTTTTTTTTTTTTTTTTTTTTTTTGTTTTTATCATAGAATATCCTGAGTTGGAAGGGACCCTTAAGGATCATCAAGTCCAACTCTTGACACCGCACAGGTCTACCCAAAAGTTCAGACCATGTGACTAAGTGCACAGTCCAATTTCTTCTTAAATTCAGAAAGGCTCGGTGCAGCGACCACTTCCCTGGGGAGCCTGTTCCAGTGTGCAACCACCCTCTCTGTGAAGAACCCCCTTGGCCAGCATCTCCTTATTCAGCCATGTGGCCTCCTGGCCTTTTTGCCTGACTTCCTTTGTGCTGGGATGCATCGCTCCTGAGCTTGGAGGAGGTGATCCTTGAAGATTAACCAGCTTTCCTGGACACCTCTTCCCTTCAGGTCCTTCTCCCATGGTACTCTACAAAGCAGATCCCCGAAGAGGACAAAATCTGCTCTCCTGATATCCAGGGTGATGAGCTTACTGTGTGTCCTCCTTGCTGCCCTAAACATCCTGAATGCCACCAGTTCATGGTCACTGCAGCCAAGGCTGCCTTTAAACTTCACATTCCCCACAAGCCAATCCTTGTTGCTAACAACGAGATTCAGCATTACACTGGCTAGTTCACAGTAAGTGAACTCCATCCAAATGAACTCCAAATGCATGGGGTCCAGCCAGACAAAGTATACTGGGTAAAAGTTTTGTAGTGGGAAAGAAGGGCTGAGGTGGAAAGCCTGATCCTTCAGGGATGAAGGGTCTGGATGAACGCAGTGGATGTCCCTGTCTCAATCCAAGAAGATGTAAGGCAAGGAGAGAAGAAGACTTGAGATACATCCAGAGGAGCACAGCTGGAGCTGGGACATAGAAAGCCTCAGCTTTTCTGAGACAAAGAGGCCTTGCCTTGTTGGAGGTTGAAGGGAGCAGAGAACCTCTGCAAGCCTTGCTTGCAGCTCTGGGCAGAGAGTTCCTGTCCTTCATGTGTGGCTCCGGGCACTTCCTTGGTCAGTGGTATGTGGGGTATGCAGTGCCAAGTAAAAGACAGTGGTGTGACACCTCCTGGCCTCACTCAGAAGGTGCAAAGAGGGGACGAGCCACAATTGCTAAGAGGACAACATGTTTCCTCCTAGGCCCAGGTGGCAGAGAGACCTGCCATAGCCAAGGGGAAAAGACTTTTTTTTTTTTTTCTTGGCTAATGTTTGCCTTGCCAGTGCCCTTGTCCATCTCCGTATCTGGCTGTCCTATGCTGTCCCACACCACTTCATGTTGGTGCATTATCAGTTCATTCTGTACTTCTAAAATGACACACTCATACACACCAGCTGTGTGCCTGAAGGCGGCCTGTCAGCTCCTCAGTCAGAAGTGCCCTGAAACCCACCTGCACAGCCATGGGCCTCCTGCTGCCTTCTGAGAGCCTGAGGCACAGCTGACCTCAGCAGAGAATCCCCACTCATCTCCTCCTTGAGCCCGATGACCTGACCAGATCCAGGTCACCTCCCTTGCCTCTTCCAAGACCAAGTGACTGCTGCAGGACCTCTCAAACCCATCTTAGCCTCATGGGGTCAAGCCCCTTCAGTTTTGTGATAAGCATGCAGGAATGACGGATTTGAGGTTTAGGAGTTCTTTTTGCTTTTCATGTTTAGAGATAGGACAGAGTCTTAGAGGGAGGTTTTCGTGTTCTGCTTTGGGAAGCCAGTCAGAGTTTAGTGTAAGGGCTAGATTTTTGGTTAGGTTTTTGTTAGTTTATTTGTTTTTATGGTGTTTGACTGGGTGAGGGCTGGTGTTAAGGCTGGCAATCTAATGCTAATGATTAAAGGCTAGGCATTAGTGAGTGTTAAGACTAATGTTAACAGGTAACATACCTGGGGTTTGACTTCAAGGTAGGATTTGAGGATGGGGATTAGAGCACTGAGTTCCTTCCAGAGCAGGATTTAGTGTAGCTGTAGGTTTTAAGGCTACTGGCCTCCTAATCCTTCCTTTCTCTTAGCCAACCCCCTCTTCTACCCCCAAAATCCCCCACTGTTATTCTCCCAGCTTTCCCCTGGCCTCACCAAATGTGTCACCCTGTTGGGGGCAGCTTTCTGAGGGCCTTTATGGCCTCAGAGGCTCTGCCTCCCTGCTGTTGGCCAGCCAGGTGCTGGGACACAAGTGACCTCACAGCCAGCATCCAAAGGGACAAAAGGAGCTGTTGTACTCAGGAAGCCTCTTCCCAGGTCCCCCAGGAGCAGTGGGTGCAGGGGATGCCCTGCACAATCTCTCGGGTATTCTTCCTGCCAATTAGCTCATACTGCAGAAGGCCTCCCACATGTCCAGAGTAATTTTTCCTCATGTAGCCTTTATCAACTCCAGGGCATCCTGAAGAAAATCTGTAGAAAAGTGATCCAAGAACTGCTTTCTCAATTTCTTTTGCACAGCTAAAATGACACATGTTCACACCAGCCATCAGCCTGAAGGTGGCACATCAGGTCCTCAGGCAGAAGTGCCCCGACACCCACCTGCACACCCATGGGCCTCCTGCTGCCTCCTGATGTCCTGAGGCACAGCTGACCTCAGCAGAGCATCCCCACCCATCTCTTCATTGATTCCTGTGACCTGACCAGACCTATGTCACCTCCCCTGCCTCCTCCAAGACCAAGTGATTGCTGCAGAACCTCTCAAGCCCTGCCCAGCCTCATGGGGCCAAATCCCTTCATTTACATCATAAGAGTGCAGGAATGAGGGATTTGAGGTTTGATTGTTCAGTTTAGAGTTTAGGGATTGTATTTTACCTTCCAAGTTTAGGAACTGGGCAAGGTCTTAAAGGGAGGCTTGTGAGTTCTGCTTTGGGTAGACAGTCAGTGTTTAGGGTATAAGCTAGATTTTTGGTTAGGGTTTTATTATGTACCTTGTTACGGGATGATATCTGGCAATATAATTCAAGGAATTAAGAACTAGGGATTAGCAAGAGCAATATGTTAAGACTAAAGGTAAAAAGTAATTTGTTTGGGGTTTGACTTCAAGTTAGGAAATGAGGTTGGGGTTTAGAGCAGTGGATTCCTTTCAGGGTGAGGGAGAACATTTAGTACTAGGTTAGCACTAGGTTTTCAGGTTGCTGGTTAGAAATTTTGCCAAGGCCTAACACGACTGCTTTCCCAGTGAGTGTTGCAGAAGCATCAGCCTTACCTGAACCCCTATCACCTCTTTGAAATCTTTCCTTTCTCTTAGCCAAGTCCCTCTTCTCTCACCAAGGTCTTGCACCTTTACTCTCCCGGATTTCCCTTGGCCTCCCATACGTGTCACCGTCTTGGGGGCAGCTTTCTGAAGGTCTTTGTGACCTCAGAGGCTCTGCCTCCTTGCTGTTGGCCAACCAGGTGCTGGGACAGACGTGACCTCACAGCCAGCATCCACAGGGCTACAAGGAGCTGTTGTGCTCAGGAGGCCTCTCCCCAGGCCCCCCAGGAGCAGTGTGTGCAGGGGATGTCCTGCACAATCCTTTGTGTACTCTGCCTGCCAACCAGTTCCTGCTTCAGAAGACCTTGCACAAATCCAGACTCACATTTCCCCATGTAGCTTTTGTAAGTCCAGAGCATCCTGAAGGAAATGGCCACCTCTCTGTAGGAAAGTGATTCAAGAACTGACTATATATTTTAGAAAAATGTTGAAAACTCTTCCGAGGAGTTGCTGTGAAAGTCATGATGACTAGCATTGGTCATATCCATATGCAGTGAACAAAGGCCCAGCCCAGACTGCTCTGTGGTTCCCCCCTCTCTTCCAGGAGGCCAGCACAGTCCAGACCCTCCCCTGCTCTCCACACTTGCCTCTCCTCTCCCCAGCCCAGCCCAGCAGAGCAGCCCAGGCCAGGCTGGCCCCAAAGCTGCAAATGAAGCAGGGGAAGTCACCAGCAGTGTCTCTGCTGCTGCAATCTGCAGGAGATAAACCCTACCGATCCACCTTCCCAGACAGCCTGCACTCCCCCCAGGCCAGTGCCACTTCCCAGCACAGCACGGCACCACACTGCTGGCCCTGGGGTTCCTCAGGCAGCACCGCTGCAAACACACAGC